TTCTCCTTTTGCCTTCAATCTTTATCTTAATTGTATTTTTATCAAAATGATATGAGAAAATAATTAAGCAAACTTTCTATTGAGAATCTACTGCACAGAAGTCAAGTCTGAAATTGTGGAATTAAGGATATAGTGATACACAATTAGTGTAGCGCCTGTTTTTCAAGTCTGCATTTTAACATCTAACAAGCTATTTTTAAATAGCATGATGAGTTTAATATGAACCGAACTTATATGTTATTTTACAGAGTTGCTTTTAAAAAGTTGCTTTTACTTTTTTGCTGAAGTTAAGTTAGCTCACTGATGTTGACTCTATGCCTAGTGTACAGAAATGCGTACTTTTCCAACAATACTCATACTTTGCTATGACTCTTGGGGAAAACACTTGCTTATCTCACCATGAAAAGGTTAAGCAATCATTGTATGTAGTGATTCCTTTGTTTGACTCAAATATGCTAATAAGGCATTATTATCTCAGAACATACTAGGACTGGATAGGTTGGTTTATTTTTCAAATCTTTTTTTATTGTATCCACTGTTTGCTCCTGACCAGAGTGAAGGTAAGTCTAGGAACATACAGACAACCTACACAGTTTTATATAAGAATTTTGTGATGTATTGATTAATTTTACTATGTCACTTTCTAAATGCTCTCAATCCTAATACTGAACTTTTAGCTTTTTGATTATGGCCCATCTTTAAGAAAGTAACTTGAATACCAGGCAATTTTAATTCTGTGGACATATTTAGGACTTAGAACACAGAATGACTTGGTAAGATACATACACTATAATTTTTCATTCTGTTCTTCACAATAACCCTGCTTGATGAGTTAGGCAAGTATTAATCATGGAGGGTTTTTCAACCACTAAAAGCTTGTCACTAAAAAATAATTTCATCAGTTTGGGCAAAGATAGCTGCCTGTAATGTTCAGTACTGAAGACAGTCCAGAGATTAAATGTCCTCAGCTCCTCACATCCCTATTCTGATCATTTTACTGAATTTTATCTGGTAACAACTTCTGAAATGTGCAATGTGCTTGGTCTACTTCTAAGAATTCCACAATGTGTCCAATTATGATAGTATGCAGGGATAGTGTTTATTGTGCATTATTGACCATATATTTGCTGTCTCAAGGCTTTCAGTGTTTATTTTCTTCATTGCTAGCATTTGCCAAAAACAATTGACAATATAATCAAATAATATTTTGGTTCATTGTGCTCTTTAACATATTTCACTCTGAAATAAATGTGTATGTGCTGAAACACCCAGAATGTATAAAGCATTAATATTAAACAATATGTCAAGGCTAATGAACAATATCAGATAATGGTGGGGATTGCTTATTTGGAGTTTCTCATGCATCAATGAAAAAAAGCCCATGGACAGAAAAAGCAACTGCACCAAAAAGAGGTTACATATAGCCATTTCCTCACAAGCTACTTCCATGATTCTTCTTACGCTTACTAACGTCTGTCATTTCAAGCTGCACATTATGATGTCAGGTAGGCTATTCTGTCTTGTGTATCCTCTTATTGTGACACAACTTGACCTCACTTCTGAATATTAACCATTGCTTGGAAAGTTCTACAAGGGAGCACTTACTTGTTGACCTTTATTTAATCATTACGGTTTTGATTGGTTTGTTCATCTTGAAAAAATTAAATGACCTAAAAAAAAAAAA